TGTGATGGCATACACAGGGATTCCTCTTTCAAGCAGAAAGAGATAAGTGTTCCTTGCTTCTCTTCATGTGTTTATGTCACCTGAAGAGGAATTATTCAATCTAAAAATATACTTTCATGCATGGCTCACATTTGAAGGTTACAGAGAGCTCAGTGATGACAACATACCTGTGGGGACTCAGTGTACACTGAGTTCCTGACTGGACTACTTAGCTTTTGAAACCAGCCAGGCACAATAGGGTCTGGAGCAGAACACCACTGATTTCACTTTGCATGTCCCACAAGCAGTACCACCACAAAATCTAAATCCGCCTGTTGCTCCACCAAAACCAACCTGAGGCAAACTGAAAAGGTCTTACCTGTTTTCATGACACTAGTTCTCTGCTTCTATCCATGCAGTCTTTCACTCCTGCAAAATCCTGTTAGCAGACCATCACAGCTTGCTGGTCGAACTAAATCAAGAGCTTCAGGTGCCCATGAAACCCTACCCTCACAGTCAAAATCACCACATGGGTATCAGCGATGTCAGCCTGCTCTGTTCTGGACTCAGAGAAAACTGATACACAAGCCCATGATCACTCTTTGAAGACCTTCTGCCAAATCAGTGATATATTGTTATCTTGCCTCTCTGACCAGCTACAGCACAGTACACCTCTCCACCATCACAGATGCACATCCACTGTGTTGATGCTGCAAACCCAGAAATGAAGACAAATTCCATTAGCAGGCAGCAGTGCAGCCTCTTCATTCCAGCAAGCAGTGCATAACGTAGGTGTGCACAACTGCTTAAACAGGAACATATAGCTAATTTTAAACTAACTCAAAAGAGTATATCTCTCTGGAAGGCACCCACACTGCTTCTCCAGCAGGCTGTGCAAACTGCTCCGTATCTGCACTACTGCCACAAGAGCCAGCAAAACCCACTGGAGGTTGGATACATCTACTTATCCCCATTACAATAGTGGTGTATGTCAATACATATCTGCTGTGATTTCCCGTTCTCAATGAAATTTTAATACAGGTTTGTGTTCTTAAGCCTTTTGTCCCCCGCAAATTAAAAGACAAAGACATACTCTACAGCTAAAGTATCACATTGTTTTTCTGAAAGCTGTCTTTGCCCACCAGAAAAGTCACCTCATTTCAAAAAAGATCATCAACAAACATCGCCCAGAAAGATAAGTTGAAATCCTTTCCCAGAGCAGCTGAATAGGACAAATAGATACAAAGAGAAAAGGTTGGTTGTGGGTAAGGTCTAAAGATAAGATCAGAAAAAAGCATCCAGCATGTTGTCTGCAAATGAACATGTGTGTATGGCAAAGGCTTGGAAAAACAGAATACCAGAAGCTGCTATGGGGCATTGTTCACATCAAACCACTGAAATGTTTGGACAAAACCAAGAGGAAAGACAATCATTTAAGTTTTTCGTTTGTCCCAAACGGTTAATAGCAATGTTGCAGGAGTCTACAGTATGTGTAACAATAAAAAGCAGGATTAACAAACAATGCATCTTCTTTTAGTGCACCAAAATCCTGTCATTCCTCTTTCTTGAAGCTTTAACTACTTTGTAGTCACTAGATTAGAAGACTTGAGGACTTGCATACTTTCCAGACGTGCTGAGCCTAATGACAACTTCCTTTACAAAGCAACAGCCTCACAATGAATAAACAAACTTAAACAGAAAGCCATCCTTCGCACAGAGAACATAGTGACAGATGCTATAAATTAGACTGAATACTCTTCAAGTAGTACTACTTCTCTCTGAGCAACCACATAGCGCAACGCAGAGAATCTACGGAAAGATTTATGTATGAAAACCAAAGGGAGTTGTTTGTTTTTTGTTTTTGTTTTTTGTTTTTAAAAAGGCTTTGAAAAAAAAAAAAAAAGAATTATCTGGGTCAAACATACAGTTAAAAATTTAAGATGACAACATTTGGTAGCTGACATTTATATTAAATACAAAACATGAATTTAAGGTATGAAGGTAAACTGTAAGAAGGCCACAAGCTCACTACACAAAAATTCACGCAGCTATAAAAAAATAAATAATGGAGTATTTGTTACTCCATTTCAGTCTTATTCTCTTCTGTGAATGGGCTAAGGCCCATTGATTCCTAATTGGTGGTCAGATATATTCCCATTCCAATGACAGTTCTGGAATGAATTCTCACCTTACACAAAGTGCAATGAGTTTAGAAAAAATCAACTTTCCTGCAAACTGGAAGCTCGTTAATAGGATTAATTTGCCTGGTCAGCCAGGTCCTTTTCTCCCCACATCTTGCATTTCTATGCTATTTACAGCAGAAAAGAGATTGAGGAGAAAACAGCAATTCCTTTACAAATGCCTAACATTATCTAAAGAAGCTCAAGGGGAAAAGATATTCAGAGGCAACCTTTCACTCAAAGGATAAACTTCACCACTAAATTACTTAACAATTTAATGAACGCAAGAAAAAGCCCAATAAAAGTTTGACCTAAACACTGTCCATGCAGTCAATACCATTTACTAAAAGTGATACTAAGATTTCCTACGCTCAAAGCAGTATGTACTTCTACCAGGTGATCCAACTACACTTCCCAGAGCTGAATCTCCTTTATTAACATCAGGAGGGGGCTACAGCAGAATTCTACACAACTTTAAAGATTCATTTTACAGCTTTTTGTAGTAAGGCATTTAGAACCTTTCAGAATGAACTGATACTTCATTCATTTCTCCACTAACACTGTACCCTAAGAAATAAGACTTTTTTTCACTGCAATGTTAGGGAGAAGTTTACAAAACATGGCACTTGCAAAATCACAGCACAATCTTATCATTTTGTTTTCATTCCCAGATTTTTGTTGACAGAATTTATGTATATGTTTTCAAACACAACGTTCAGCGTACTCTGCAAGCCATGTGAGCATTACCTTTGGGTTGGATAAACATCTTTTCCCATTTAACAGTAAGGAGATGGAACAGTTAAAGTGAACCTCAGGTCATATTCCATAATGCACACCCACAGTTCCACCACACTGACACCCCTCTCTTCTGGTCCTGTTTCAAAGCCCGAGATAACATTTTCAAAAATAAACAATGAAATGAAACGTAAATTAACATAGTCTGTTTACTGTTGAGCAAACCTAATTAAGCAGAAGAAGACAGATAAGCAGCTGAAGTCCACGAGTATTTACTGTTGTCACTATGGGCTCTCGAACACATCGTAGAGGAGGGAAAAAAATAACAATTAAAAAATGTCCATGGCACATTCCCTCCCCTAAGCGGTGCCGCGTGGAGCTTCTCTGCGCGGCCCGCTGCCGGCCGCTCCCAGCGCAGCAGTCTCTCCGATGCGCGCACACCCGGGGACGGGGCGGCCCAACAAGCTGTGCGGGGCCCCGCAAATTGATGTTCCCCCTATCGTCCCTCCCAGAGGGGCAATAAAGGCCTCAGAAAAAAATTAAAAGCGATGGGATCCGACCCCAAACCTGCGAGAGGTAACGCGCTCCCCCTGGATCTCGAGCTTTCTGCTGACCCGCTCCCTCCAGGGCAATGCAACAAATGGCAAGACCTGGGACCCGGCTCTGAGCAACAGGAAATATCGGCATCTGTCACCTCCCGGGGGAAGGTAAATGGATTAGCGAGAGCAACAAAGGGAAGAAAAGCACTTTCAAACGTGCAATTGATTAACAAGTCCCCTCTAATCTGCAGCATCGCTGTTCCTCCTCAAAGACATCATCGCCCTCCTCTTGCACTTCGGTGCCGCTCTGCAGCGATCAGGAGAGCGCCCGGCCCCAGCCCGGCACGGAGAGGCACCCCCGCGCCACCTCCCGCGGTCCCCGGGAAGGGTTTGTGGGCAGTGTTGCGGGAGGGGAGGGGGGCAGCTCTCCAGAGAGCGGTGTTAAGGGAGATCAAAGAGCCGGTCCAACACCCCGACCTCCCCGCTGCATTTCACATTCCGGGGAAAATGAAAACGTTAAACCTCCACCCCCTTCGGCTCCGAAAGCGCCGCACGTCTGTAGCGTACATGGAAGGAGGGGGAAAAAAGTTGAGAGGAGAGGAGAAATGGAAAGGAAAGGAAATGAAAAATGGGGAAAAGGGAAGGAAAAAAGAAAAGAAAGAAAAGAAAAGAAAAGAAAAGAAAAGAAAAGAAAAGAAAAGAAAAGAAAAGAAAAGAAAAGAAGTTATGCGGCGTCTTTCAAGGGAGCTCCTATGGTTCCCCGCTTCCCGAGGTCCTCGCACATCGCTGCGCTTCCTCGGCCGAACCAGCACCGACCCCACACCACCGTGGGGGCCGGGAAGCGGAATGCCTGAGGCGCGCTGCTCCGAAGCCCACGGGCGGACCCCCGGGTACTGTCGGGAACGGGACACTCCGGCGCTCAGAGGCCCGGAGCCTCCATCGTCTGAGTGGACGGCAGCGTCTCCTCGCCTCCTTTAATCCACATCACCCCCCCGGTTCCCGGTGAGATTCTGGCAACACTCAACGGCCCGAATAATAACACATTATTATAACCGCTCCGAGGGGAAGGCTAGAGGGCGGGCGGAGGGAAGGAGGAGGTTCCACTCCTCGCTAACCCACCCTCGGCAATAACAAAACCCCGAACTTTTCCTTTGTTTTCTCCTTCTCTCCCCCTCCCACCGCCCGCCTCCAGCCGGCCCCGGTGCACGGCCCCAGTCGGGGCGCAGCACGGAACGAAGAGGGACTGCCGGGGCGCGCCCGGGAAGGTGCGGTGTCTGTGATCCTTCCCCTCTTGCCTGCCCTGCTGTTTGCAATAAATAAATAAATAAATATTTTTAAAAAAAGAAAAGAAAAAAAAAAGAAAAAAAGAGAAAAAAAAAAAGAGGGAACGGAGAGAAAAGCAGTATTCAGCATCAGCTTGGGATGCTGGCGCTCCATCAGCCTCAAACGGGACGCACAACTTTCCTGAAAGAGAAAACAGCAGCTCCCGCCTCCCTTCTCCCCCTGAATCCCTCCGAAAGCGACGGCAGCAGCCTCCATTCCCGCGTCCCCGACGGTCATCCCTTACCTGCGGCGCGGAGGCGCAGGAGCACTGCGGCGGCCAGCAGGGCCAGGAGACGCAGAGCAACCGCAGGGACCATTCTGCGATCAGTGCCGGTGCCTGCGGGCGAAGCGGCGCGGCGTAGTGCGGTGAGGAACGATGCGGTGCGGCGAGGAGCGGTGCGGTTGGCCCCGGCTCCCCAGGCGGGGAGGTGCGCCGTATGCTGCCGGCCTGGCACCGCCACCCCAGCTCGGTTCTCCTGCTAACGGACTCTCCCTGACTGGGGGGCGGGGGAAACCGCACTCCTTTCCCCTCCTCCTCCTCCGCCTTCCCCAGCATCCCAACGTCACCGGGGACAAATCCGACACAGGGGAGGGAAGGGGAGGGGAGAGGCGCCGAGGGGTGGCGGCCCGGCGCTCCGGCACCCTCTGCTGGGGGAGCACCTCCGCGGTAGCGGCTGGAGGGATGGGCTCCCCGGAGGCGGCGCGGCCCTCGACTCGCGAGGAGTCTCCAGCCAGAAAATTAACCTGGGGAGGTAGGAGGAACGCGGCTGACAGCAGCGCTGCGCTTCCGGACTGCCGCCTTCCCCTCGCTGCAAAAGCCAACGCCTTTCTGCATCCGAGGGAAAGGCCCCACGACGGCCGCGGCGGGAACGCGGACCTGGCACCCCTGTCTGAGGCCGCCGCTGCTCTGTTGAGGCGTCCGAAGTGCTTGTGCTTTCCTGCTTGTGGGCAGAAAGCTATTCTGCTCCGAGAAAAGCTTCCAGACGCCTCAGCCGTGCTTTGTTACCAGAAATAAGGACACTGTGATTGTGACTCAAGTGTGCTTTTGAAATCCCTTTTAGTTTATATTTTTGCAGCTCAAAGAAATCAGTGCACTAAGATAGTACAGAACCACTAATAGGCACTAGCTGACGGTGCCACAAACTTAAACAGTGGACACCTTTCAGTTTGCCATATTTTTAAAGCTATAATTGAATTGGAAGACTTCAGAAATACAGCATTCCCACCACTTCAGACTTTGATTCTAAGGATTTGATGATTAACAATGCTGAATATATACAAAACTATTTTGATGCCTTTCCCAAGTCAAGCTTTAAATTTACACTAACTTAAGAGTTATTCACTTAAATTACATCATATTTACTTATTACAAACACAGGCTACAAAACAGTCTTTTCTTCTTGCATCTTATTTCTTCCTTCTCAGCTCTCCAGTTCCATCTTGAAAATTCCTCTGGCACCTAAGGATAATGAAGGGAGGTCCTGATCCCCCTTTGGTAGGAATGCGGGATGGCTGAACTTAATCCTTTGCCATCACAACAGCACATTTTATAATCCCTTTCATAAACATATGAAGCCAAATTTAAGAGTATTAAAGTCTTTGTTCTTTTTTCAAATAAGTTCCACTCTTGTGACTAGAAGACTACTCCAGACCTCTTCGGTAGCCAGACAGCTACTCCCAGTGGCCAGCCCAAATTCATTCTGTTCATCGCCATTACTTCTAATGCCACTGTTAACCTTTTCGGTCACATATCTTCCCCCTTTCTATTGTACGAAGGGACCACAAACACCCCTCACATTTTATTTTGCTACACTAATGCTTAAATTTTCAAATTTCCTCTGAAGTGATAACTACACTCCCCAGTCCCATCTCCACACTCTTCTCTTGCTCCCTGCTTTTTTGGCAGTTTGATCTCTTTCTGAAGTGGTGGTGGAGCTCTGAGTAGTACTGGAGATGCTGTCTCTTCTACAGCACTTTCCTTTTTGTGCTGAGTAGGATATACCCTGATGGTTACAACACCTTTCTGCTGACTGACATCCTGTGATGTGTTAGAAAACCTCTTTCTTTGTTGGTTCCAGTGTGTACCTAACAGCTGAGAACTGCATCAAAATGCCAAATGTTAGTCCTTCTTACTTCTTTTATTTTATTTTGTATCTCAGATTATCAATATCAGTTCTTTCTTTAAGATACCCTACTCCATCTTCTATCAAGAAAAGCTCTGTGTCAGCAAAAAGCATTTGCCTGCATGTTGATAACATGCCTGAAGGTTTTTCTCAAAATAAACAAATCTGTAGTTAGTATCAGAGATCAACAGCTAAGGGAATCCATCCACTTAATATTCTCAAAGTGAATATTTCTCCTTTTCCTCTCTTCTGCCACCTCATCCTTCTTGCAGTGTACCTATGAATTAGCTTCATCTTAACCTGTAACATTTTGTGGAGGTCTATCAGGAATTTAAATCAAGTCCAGGTGAATGAGACTTACCCACCACTACTACCTGGTTTTTGAAAACCAGCTAAAGGAACCTATGAAGTTCCCCTGAGGTTAGTGTATCTATTTAGTAAGTACATTTTATTCTGTATACATCCGTGATGTTATCTTAATTCTTCCTCCAAACTCACTTCCTAAGCTTTGTGAATTCCTGATCCTAGTCTAAGGGATTTGTAGGTATCCAGATGACTTTTTCCTAACTCTTAATAAATATCAGCCACAGAGGCCAACAAAGCCTCTGTCTCAGGAAAGATGAGCACGACTGCATTGCCACATGGCCCATGAAACCCAGATTAAACAGATGAAGGGCAAACAACCCTAACTAGAGCTGCAGGTGAAGGTATTTCTTCCTTCTCCTTTCCCAAATTTTTTCATCCCAGATCCTGGCAGTGCTGTCGTTTAGTTGTGATGACAAGCACACTTTGTGGTAATGGGATTCATTCTCTAGTGCAGGGTAATAGATGAGCTCAGTGCCAACATGTCCACGATACTGAACCAGAGACAGTGCTGTGACTTTTACAGTAAAATTTAATCAGTTAATCAGTTACCTGCCAAAAACTTTCCAGGTTTGAGTCTGTGTTCTGAAGCTCATGCTTGTTCAGCTTGGCTTCTTACCTTCCAAACCAGGGAAAACTGCTTGCCCAAATCAGCCGGTATTTAACAAAATCATTCAAATATAATATTTTGCTTTTTTTTTCTCATGCTCTCAAAAAATAAAAATCTTACAAAAATAATTAGGATATAGATACAAATAATTTTGCATTTCAGAACACATTAGGATTTGATAGAAATTTCAGCTGTAAATGATTCTTATATTATTATTATTAAGTGACTACAGCAAATTAAATGTTGAGAGTTAGTCTCCTTCACAGCCACAAGTGATTTTGTCACTGACCACAAAAATTGTCATTTCATATTTCACAGTTGCAGGGAGAATCACTTGGCAGAACTGAGGTGATGTCATTACAGGGAGAACACCACAGTATGAATTCTTGCTTTGTATTGTGAGGAAAAATGTACAGCAGAAGGAGAAAGATGGACAACTGCACATTTCTTCTGTATTGGTTCACCCCATCCACATAAGCCACCAGAGTGCTCATTTACATTCTGTAGCATCTGGCCCCAAACTGTTCTGTTGCTGTTCGACAAAGAAAAAGCTGTGCATGTATTTGTTTGCATGGCCATATGGTGTATGCCCAATAGGTGAAGTTGAGAGCAACAGGGAAAGCTAGAACTCTGCCTGAGCTGGCTTGGAAATCCCTGACGGAGCTTGGATGAATTGCATTTTATCTGTCCAATAACATCATACTCACCTGAGGGTGTGAGCAACAGACAGTGCCTTCAGACTGGGGTCTTTCTAGTCCTCTCAGTCATAAAAGCAGAAAGTGAAAGGACCAGACAGATCGTCTTCAATACTGGCACACCAGGATTTAGGGCCATAAAAAAGAGGAACCAGAACTTGTATGTTCTGTTCCCAAGTGCACTGAAGAGTTCTCCAGATGGGAAACATGTCATTGCAGCTTGTCAAAAACTCAAGGACTGTCTTGGCTTTTAAAAACAGAGATGGATATATTTGAGAAAGAGGAAAATCTGGAGAGACTATAAGCAAGCAGCAGAAGCTCTTTCTGCGTGTGCCATGGACATGAGTTTTCTTGCAACTCCTCTGCCCTTGGAAACGCAAAGCTCCGACAGACAACAAACTTGGTCTAGAGGAGCCAAGCAAAATACACTGCAGCTCTGCACCAGGGATGTGTCATGTGGTAGAGTGAAATTTCTCTCCTCATCTCCCTTCCCTCACACTCAGGGGCACATATGGCATACACACATAAAGGAGTGAGAGCTACCATGGGAAGGACTTCAAAGATAACACAGAAACAGTAATGTAAACACGTATATAAGCAAAATTCATTCAGAATTGCTGTGTTTGATGGCACAGAGCAGATGAGTGCTCCTGGCTTTCAGTACACATTCCCAAGTGTTCTTCCTTCAGTCTATAACACTTTGAGGAAGAACATCTGCCATATTTGCCCTTCTCTCAGCCACATTCTGAACTTCAGACTTGTGAAAAGTAAATTCAGCTCACTGATGAATTTTAAAATGCCTGTGATGCCCTAAACCAATCATTTATTCAACCACATTCACAGTGCAGTGTGCTTACTGAGTAAGAGGGTGAGAATAACATGAACTTGCATAAGTACACAAGCACGAATATAACTACTTAACACACATGCACAGAATTAACAGACAGCATAGGTAAAGACTTCAGACTGAGAAAAAGCTAAGATATGATTACAAAGAATTCTAAAACATTTTAATAAATCCTTTTCACCCCAGAGAGATTTGGAAGGCTTGTCAGCAGGAGAGAAAACAACAACTGGATCCTGAAGTCCCATGCTGCTCATTGAAGTTCTCTCCTATTAAAAGGCATAGAGGTAGCCAGTAAAATTACTTTAACATATACTTTTTTATATATAATCGCAAACTTGCACTATGTCTGAATCAGTTGTCCAGTGGTTTTGACCTTGCAGGACCGCTACTCATTGCATAGAAGTTTTTCCTTTTGTTTTGCTTTCTCTTCGTGTACCAGTCCCATAAACACAAAGTTTACCAAAACTGAAAAGTAGGAAATTTCTTGTCATTTTAGGATACTCCTTACCTCATCTTGTTCTCTTCCATTGAATCATAGAATCACACAATGGCCAGGGTTGAAAAGGACCTCAAGGATCATGAATCTCCAACCCCCCTGTCACAGGCAGGGCCACCAACCTCCTCATTTAATGCTAGACCAGGCTGCCCAGGGCCTCATCCAATCTGGCCTTGAACACTTCCAGGGACAGGGCATCCACAACATCTCTGGGCAACCTGTTCCAGTACCTCACCACTCTCTCTGTAAAGAATTTCCCCTTGAAATCCAACCTAAATCTTCCCTTCCTCAATTTAAAACCATTTCCCCTTGTCCTGCAGTTATCAACCCTTTCAAAGAGTTGATTCCCCTCCTGTTTGTACACTCCCTTTAGGTATTGAAAGGCTGCGATGAGGTCATCTCTTAGCCTTCTTTTCTCCAGGCTGAACCTGGAATGATTCAAACAGCAGTTCACTATATGAATAAATTTAAAAAATCCAGCCTACATCTTTTCTGTTCATCTTCTAGAACTTCTTTGTTTTTACTAAAGTGGATTTTTAAGTACCTAATTATCCCATCTAATCTGTACAGTTGTGATCTTCAAATTCTACAAGTACATAAACCTTAACTATGTATATTTCTCCCT